GCTTAAACTTTGTAATTCCTATAAACTTAGTACCTCCCATGCTTAAACTTTGTAAACTTAGTACCTCCCATGCTTAAACTTTGTAATTCCTATAAACTTAGTACCTCCCATGCTTAAACTTTGTAATTCCTATAACCTTAGTACCTCCCATGCTTAAACTTTGTAATTCCTATAAACTTAGTACCTCCCATGCTTAAACTTTGTAATTCCTATAAACGTAGTAACTCCCATGCTTAAACTTTGTAATTCCTATAAACGTAGTAACTCCCATGCTTAAACTTAGTACCTCCCATGCTTAAACTTTGTAATTCCTATAACCTTAGTACCTCCCATGCTTAAACTTTGTAATTCCTATAAACTTAGTACCTCCCATGCTAAAACTTTGTAATTCCTATAAACGTAGTAACTACTATGCTTTAACGTAGTAATTCCCATTAGCGTAGTATCTCCCATGCTTAAACCAAGTAACTCATGCTTTAGAAACGTTGTAACGCCTATGCTTAGACGTAACTCCAAAAGTTTTAACGTAGTAACTGTTATGCTTTAACTTTGTTAACGCCCATATTTAGTGAATATTTACTGCAATCATAGCGATAGTATGGTTTTGAGGAACAAGACCTTGAATTACTACAATGGCACCGCCTTGATTACTGTAATCACCTGATAGAGATGCCTGAACACTGGCATACTCTAACCTTATTCCAGATGATGTTTTTGCAACTGAATGAATGATGTTTTATGTCACAGTCAGCGACACCAGGCTTCTGCTGGAATAATTTTCCATACTTAACTGATTGTTTCCTGGCGTTGAATTTTTCAATCTTTACTATGATTTCCATGTCTTTCCTTCTGAATTCCGCACATGTGATTGATAGAAGTAACATGTATCCTGATAAATGCGTACGGCAAAACTGTATTCTGAATTACCGTGTGCCAAATTTCGTGTTTCCTTGGACACGCCAGAAACATGATGCTGTGTTCTTTCTACCTATGCTGTTACTTCGTACCCATGTATCTGGCTTTAGCAGCACCATACCGGTGTTCCTGGGTATCAGCAAAATGATAAATGACTGAAACCAGCAGTAGTTCGATCTTTCTTCATGCATTAAGCCGCCAGACACTGAAAACACTCACTCACTCACTCACTCGCTCATAATACTGGACAAATCCATGTACATTTAACTAAAGTCAAACAGAACTGGTACATGTATCTCGACCATACAGCTCCTCTTCCAGGTCGGTAAGTTCGAATTTGATTTTACAAGAAGCTTTAATTGTCCACAAGGCAGTAAGCTATATGTTTCAGAGGAGCAAAGATGATACTCATCATGAAAATAAAACTCTGAAACTGAAAACCAGACTGTTGAAATAAATCAGAACCTCGCGTGCCGGTTGTCAGTATAGCCTTATCCTATAAACACATAAAAAAAATCATGTATCCTCGTATCTTTGAATTGTTATTGGATCGCGAGAACTCAGAGCAAGGTGTTTACTAATAGCTGCTATTGACATTCTTCTTCAGGAAAATATCACAATCATGGGGAATACTAATGGCTATAGACCCTATTGCTTGAATCGTCTCAAAATAACAAACAGATGTGTAGGTGATATAGATAGTGCGATGATTAAGCGTGAAAAAAATAACAAAAGGGAACGCTAGGGGAAACTTTACGACTTGAGAATAATTGTAAACTCCAGTGGTGTTCCTTTGAGTATATGTTACATTCTGACAATTTTAGCTCATTTTCCGAGAAAATACATACTTATAGTTTAAAACAGATTTAAAAATAATTATAAGATTTTTTACGTCACATATGTATCATAGCTTTTAATTATACGTGCTGTTATTGCATCACATTTTAGGAAGTGCTTTGCGATCAATATCCTACAAATCCACATAGTGCCTTTAAAGCGCATCATTAGACACGGAATATTTAACTAACATTGTACAAGGTAAGTTTGCTGTCCTTTATATAATCAGTCGTTTCAGTACATTTGTACTTTGTTATATGAAAGTAAACTGATTTCTGTTTCCTTATCTTCAGTATTCAGAATTTAAATTATTAATTTATTATTAATTTAATGCTTCAGGTCCAGATTGAATAAACATTAAATATAAAGTACCTTAACTAATATGCGCACTCAAGCCCGCGTTCACACCTAAGTGTAATGCATCAGGGAGAATTTAGATCAGGAACACCGTGGATGTTGTTTACAACGTCAACTTTCAAAAGGTTATTGATTAGACGAACAACAGTATAATAAATTATACAATAGATTGATATGCGATAGCATCCTGATGTTGAATAAATACCATCACATTGCATAAAACATAAATGTCTGATCATATGATTATAAAATATCTTACATGATAATATGATATAAATACATCTTATGCGACTAAAGGGAAAAATTCTAACACATAAAACAAAATATTCAAGAGTGTATTATTTACGAAACATCAGTATTGTGATTAAGTCGTACACGTGCAATATCTAAAACCTAAATATATCTTTAAAACAACTTACATTGATTTGATGTGTGGTATGATATATCCAAAACATAAACTAAGCTTCAGAATAAACAATACACTTTATATACCATCCAAACACCTAATTAGAATTTTATTTATTTCAAAATCGCTCACCGGTATTCATGCATATAAAACGATAATGGTTTAATCAAACGACAACATGGGAATGAGGTTTGTGTCCTTCCATTCCCATATGTCGTAGAGCCTCAGTGTCAGTGAAACCACGACCCTCCCACGTCATGAACAATAGGACGAACAAGACAGGCAACAAACAGAGCATTTGGAAAAATTGTCCCGTGCGACGTCTTCTAACCGTAGAACTCCTCATAGAAAGTCACAAGACGATAGAGTCGTTGTATCGCTATAGGCCAGTCCCACACGAGTTTACAGACACTGAACAGGGTTAAAACACCTATGCCATCACAATTATCATCGCTACAGAATCTCCAGCTTATACAAAGACACCGAAACATTATGAGAGCAGCATCACGACAAACGTCTCACATAATAAGCTCTTTCAGTCGGCTGTCTACTTCAGTTTTGCATTCATGCATGGCTCCTTAACTCCCAAGATCCTAATTCACGTGTGACTTTCATGAGTGGCAAATGTAGATGGCAGTAATTTCACTCAGGAATTATTTGAATATGCATCTACTGTGTCAAGGCTCTTGCGTCCAGAACAAAACATGTAACAAGAACACAGGGCTGTTTATGATGAGCTACAAATGGTGGGAGCATGATCGGAATATATATAAACATTGACCTTTCCCAAGCAATTAGAGACTACTTTTACTATTACTGCTTCGCAAACGGTTATTGAATCTATCTATTTTTAGTGAATAGCCTTATCTTCGATCAAAATACCAGACAATTTTCTAAGTATATATTTATGCATGGGAAATCATAACTATTGGCAAGAGGCCATAATTTTTAAACATATGTATACAAGGGTATATTATAATCGAGCATGACGAATGATATGTGTAGGGAAGGCATCACTTCTCTAAAAGGGTTGCCACTGGTATGGATAGTTATTAAGTTGCAGATGGTACACTTCCTAATGTTAGAGAGTGTCATATTTGCAATTCAAAATAGAATTGTGTCTATTTGTCACAGCTTTTTTTTGAAATTTACATATGATATCAGCATAAAGCCGTTCGTGTATTTTAGATTTGTGTTGTTATGTTGAGTGTAAAATTGATTGTAAAACATCGGAATGTTTGCGAGTAGAATATATATTTTTATTATAAATGTTATTTACAGTTTTAAGAAATTATTGTTTTAGTTTCAAAGCTTTGGTTCTGAGATACGGTATGATTAAAAATTCACTTGGTGTGCATTTGTATTTTATTCTTATTGCTATTCACCATTTGGTTTAAGCACTTTTAAAATAGGAATGGGACTGACACCATGAAATGTTCCTCATTTTTTGTCCCGACAGAAATATGTTGTAATAGCAACATAAAACTATTAAAAAGAGTTTAAACATAGACACTATCGGGAAGTCATGCGTATATAAAGTAGCAATTAACTCTCATTTTACATTTGATTAGATGTGTGACATCTCCGAGTTGGCAACACGCTCTTTCCCAGGGGTACATCAGAATTTCAATATACAAAATAAACAGGAAAAGGGGTACTTTGTTTCTTGTCGGAAATGAGATCCAATAACACTTGAAATGATTAGTAAACATTCTTGTTTTCCGATTAAAATGAATCGAGGTATTTCAACATTGTTTTTTTGTTCGGGTATGAACTTGGAGAGGGTATTTGTTTCTAGGATGGCGATTTGCTTTTCTCAAGCCTATGTTCGAGGGGCTGTCAGCGAGGGGGACATAGAAGACAAATAGCCCTGCAGGGTTCGCAGGACAATAAGCTCGTACAAAGAAAACGAACAGGCGTGAATGGTGTGTTTGGTTATCATATCAAGCCGAGCATCGTCACAGAATGTGGAAAGTTTGAAAGTCACCCGTGTTACCCAGGAAACGTTGATAAACCAAGAAACATCCAGATTTTTAACAAACTGCAATCTGTGTAAAGTGTGTTTCTGATTAGCCAGGCGTTGCGCGAATTAAACCATTTCCCTGTTTGTAAACTGATTCAAATGCTTCTTGTTTAGTGGTTCGGGTTGGGTGAGGATTTACCATCAACCCGTCCTATGACGTTTTTCACTATACACAGGCTGATGCGTCTTCTCGAGGCGGTTCTACGGTAGTTGACTCTTCCCACTTTGTGAGCAGGTGTCGAAAAGTGATCCTCTGATCGGTTACCTGTTTAACATGGACCCCGAGAGCTTGTCAATCACGATGTCACTCCTTCGCTTTCAGCCAATCACAACCGCTCACAGCCTATTTAGTGTTACGAGTCAGGTAATTACTCCGATAACAACCCGAGGGATGAAAGGAGGCGTGGTTTGATCACTCGATAAACCAGTCAGTGATCGTGAACGTGCTGACAGGCAATTAAAGCTCCGACTTCTTCCGGACGACAGTGTTATGTGTGTTTTGTATTACTTCAAATAGCAGGGTAGAACTCCTAGCTTTCTAGATACAGTCTGTTACCTCCAGGGAAAGGAACGTCTTGGACAGATAGACCCTAGACCCATAAACCATGAGTTCATCAGCTGATGAAGACAGAAGTCATCCTGAGGGTGCGACTGGCAGCTCATCCCATCCTCACGCCCCGCTCTTCATCCGTGCATCCGACAGGTATCCAAGGACACCTAAATGTGCTCGCTGTCGGAACCATGGAGTCGTCTCGGCTCTTAAAGGACATAAGAGATACTGTCGTTGGAGAGATTGTGTTTGTGCCAAATGTACACTTATTGCCGAAAGACAGAGAGTCATGGCTGCTCAAGTGGCCTTACGAAGGCAGCAGGCCCAGGAAGAGAACGAGGCCCGTGAACTAGGACTCCTGTACGGCCCTGGCGGTTTGTTGTCTATTAATCGTGAAAATGTGCACATCTTTGACTCCGATACACCATCGTTTCCTAACACAACCGGTGGTTCCTCTCCGACGTCAAGAAGCAACTCTTTAGAAACGTCATCACCCCCACTGCCAGTCGACGACTCCAATCATACTCCAGGTACGTCATGCTCAATTATACTAATCACGTCATAGTAACAGATCATATTTAATAAATAGAACAAACATCAGAGAGATGTGGTTTGTGAGTATCAGAAGAACATCTTCTGTGAATTGTCTGTATGTTTGGCTTCATAATGACATCGTATTATTCCGGCCTTTGACAAATGACACCTTGGCAGTTACTGTTTAATGTTGTAAAAATTCTTCGAAATTTACAACATCGAATCTATCAGCGTATGATAAAGCCGACCAGTTTTACCCTGACTGTGTGGTGATATCTGATTCCATTTCATATATCATTGGTACAACCTCTACATATATTCTTTTCTGCAAATTATGTAAAAGCATATAAGTGTACAATGCAAACACATGAATACGTCATATCCAAATTTAAGGGATGTTAGCATCATATGGAACCTTCTAAAGATGATTTCAAGGATTATATCTGTATGAAAACAAAAGGGTTTCTGTATTTGGAATGAAATTTAAAAGAGTAAGTACTTATCCTAAATGACGGCTTAATATTCTTGTATTTAAGAAAATCTATTATACATTCTCCATTTACATAATGGAAAACACTTTTATGTTCATAATAGCTTACAATTTCTTTCATCTTTTTACCATGATTTAATCATTCAAAGATATTGACTTATAATTCCGTAGATATTTATGGTGGATAATTACTCAAAACTAGACTGGCTATGTAAATGTGTTTAACAATATGCATAAATATAAAGCTGTATCAAAACAGGAAGTTTTTTCTCTTTTAATAGTTTCAATGTTTTAAATTAAATCACAAAAACTTAAAGTATACCCAAACACAGGTGAAGAAGGTGCAAAAGTGAAACTGTTAATCAAAAAACGAATCTCGTTTTACTACGCTCGTGAGACTTTGCGTGACTTTAAGGTCGTATCTCATCAAGGGTAACATTCCATCCTTTGTTGTGATGACGTCGGTGCGACCTTCTATCTGTTTCAATCTCAGAGGCACTGGCACGTTACAAACCGATTTTATGAAATTTAAAAAAAGTTTGTTCGCTGTTGTCACTGCATTTCAAATATCTTTCATCCGTCCATGTCGGAATAAGATTGAAGACCATTGGAGTTTTCTGGTAAAGAAAAAATAATATTCTAGTTATGATATTTCCTGTTAACTTCAGAGAATATCTTTGAAAAGACACTCGTGAAAGGTAATTATAATTTCATTCACATTTGAAGCAGTTGTAACACAGTTATATGCTTTTGTAATAACATATATTTTTTCACGAAAAATGGTAATTATATAAACGAACGCTATAATGTTCATTTTTAAATATTAGCACAAACATCATATATTGTTAATCACATAATTTACTTCAACTGTATCTCTCAGGCAAAACAACAGCTGTTCCTGCAAACAGAAATTCTGCTACCTGGTTCTTGTTCAGTTTCGACTTTAACAAATACATCCTTACGGTGCAAAAAGAGCTGTCCTGATTACAAGAGAACAAAGACATCAAACGTATTTACTGTATGTCTGTGTTGAGGCTTCAAGGATATTATTTGTCATGGTTGTCCAAATATGTTCTTCACAAATGCGATTCAAAATACAAAAACTACAATTTTAATAGTTTAATACCCTTTCCTGTACAGATATGATATTGAGCGTAATATTTATCACTCTCGATACAATAGCATGGAGATGAAAGCTGTTGCGATTGAGCAATACATTAAAGTTACTTAAAACCACTTCAACCAATTCTGTCGAACATTTCGCATAATGTAATAGGTCTATGTACCGAGTGACCGCGCCTGTACCGGTTCACGTACACATATTTCTCAGTAGGACAACTTCCTCCCAGGCGGGAGTTCATGAAATCACTCACGGTACTGACCACATAGTACTTTGATTGCTTGACCGCTCGAATGACCATCTACAAGATGGACACTCCACACAATTTGTCCATTCGTGGGATGCATGGGAGGATCACTTAAGGAGCTCTAGATGACGGGTGATGTACTGAAAATGTGTCCCCAGTACATGAAATAGACATAAAGGCGATATAAAGAAGTCAATGGACAAATTCAGAGCGTAGAGTCTTTTTAATGTGTTTGTCTGCTTTTGACGTCCGCGGCATGATGAAAGAAATGACAGTAGTTTGGGTGAAGGAGACATAGTAATATGCTGAATATATACCCGTAATTGGAGCTAATTTGTGTCCACCTCTTCCATTACCTTTGAAATTGAAGTGGTTGTCTAATAGTCCTTAGTTTCAACGGCTTCTGAGTATGGTGCATAGATGGATTGTCATCTGAAATCCCGATACATACTTGGAACAAAAGAGTTACTGGTTGTTAAGAAATAAGATATATTGTATAGCGCTAGATAGGCCCTTTGCGTGCTATGGTGTCGTTCATAAGTGACGAAAAGAAAACTTGTGCTTGAAAAAGTTAAGGATGAGCTGTTTTCAAGTCGTTAACATTATTCACCTTTCGGTTGGGTAGATATGGCGACAGGCTAAACAGACATATAGGAACCCTTGGATGTTAAAACGAGTTTAGAATTCACAACTTGAAGATAAATCGTATTTCGGGCTGACATGTATATGCAGTGTTGAACCGCAGTTGTGCACCATTGAAGTACAGTTAACCCTTTAAGGGTTAAGTAATAAGAAGATAATTTGTAAACCTCTTTGGGATTTCAAATATCTTGAGAATTCCAGTTGTGCCAGTTTGTCTGCTGTTAATGTGGTACGTGCGCACGAATTATGTAGAGAATGATGATTTGTGACAATAGCTGACATAGAATATGGACTGTGGTGACCATATGGCAGGACAATGGCCATTAACGTTGTATGTAAAGATAACATTTTCGTCACTGTTCATCGATCCTTTTCATGCCGAACAAATAGCCATATTTCACAAAAGTCTTTGGTGTTAGAGTATTTTACGTAGTTACCTTTCAATGTCTTTAGCACAATGTTTTTTTCGCCGAAACACTTTGATGAGTCAAAATGTGTTGTAGTGTCTGATTCATCAACGTGTAACAAAATGAATCAATGACGCCAGCATTTAAGTATTTACACCATTATGGATGTGATACATATTTTGAAGGGAATGAGTTATATGTACTACGTACACAGGAGAAAATGTTATGAGCATTAATCATGCAGGCCCATCAAGCAAAACATTCTAAATTACATATACCGATCGTCTTGCAACACTGGTATTCAATGGTTAAGTCATGTATATGTACATACAGGCGTATATCACATCAATGCAATGTAAACTGTGATGTGATGTAAGTGTTACATCTACAATGTAACTTTACTCTGTGATGGTCTATCAAAATGTTAAAACTGTTTATGAGATAATTTCATACATTTCCAGGCGAACTAGTTCAACTACGCTGAAACGTCTCACAGGTGGTATCACAAAACCAATGGCCAATTTATCTTTAAATTAACATCAGTAAATGACAAAGTAGATCTTTCACGTCACTTGTCGTTTCGAAGACTGAATAGCCACAACAAGCGTTCTTTATCCCTGAAGTACTGTAATGAAGGTGCCTAAAATCAAGAGTCCTGGGGACAGCTATCCCCCTTGATGTTGTTGACAAAGTTCTTCATGCCAGGTTTAATGTTTTCTCTATCATAGACATTTGTTCTCTCCATCATAGCCATTTGTCCTCTCTTCTCAACCCTTTTGTTAGGCTTACTCTAACTTCGTAGGGTTTATTTCACATCAACTATAGTGTTGACATGGCAAAAGGTATTCATCACGCAGCACGGGGGTAGGCAGGGTCACTCTCTCAGCCTTGCGCTCTTTCAGGGGCAATCTTTACCCTTGTCAACAGCCTTACCTTTAAATTACTCGTATGAAAGACGATTTACAGATATTTAACTGCATTTTAAACAAAGGAGCGAGCGGCACTTGTGGTCAGGGGAATGAAGGACATGTGAAACTTAATACGAGTCCAGACAACAAAAAACATGTTACAAATCACCGTAACAATCCAGACTGGTTTAAGTGACACGGATCTGTCTTTATTTTGGCAATATGCACCAATCAACGGCCACCCCAACCTGAAATGATTGATTATGTCCTTTTACAGTCGCGCAGGTTTCGAGTGAGACTTGGGAAGATGGCAAACAAGTCTCCATACTTGACGTGACAGCACCAGTGGGAGACAATTAATATGTCACTTTTACACCCGAATGAACAGGCTGGTCTAACAATCCATGTCAGAAAAGTATTTTACCTGTGTATTTGTTTCAAATATGGAACATTCAATAAAAGACAAGTGCTCGAGTTTCAACCAATCATAAAAGCTTAAATGTGTATTTCTGAAAGTCTTTGTTCTCAAATCAGATATGAAGTTTCAGAGTGTTAATGGGGTTAAAGGTTCGATCTTTTCTCCGCCAGTGTTTATGAATCATTGCAAGGCACTGACAGAACACATAATGGCTGACAACTACGTCACTGACTCCTGTCAAAAGGACAGTATGCATTTCAATAGTTGGGGCATCATTTTCACAAATACGAATGCCAGTCGATATACTCAATATGTACAATAAGAAGGGTAATTCCTTATCCAGTATTTCACAGCCTTCTCTCGTTAGGAATCAGTGAGTGCTGTGCATTTGTTTACCTGTTAATGGAGCTTTTATGAAGATATATATATATGCCTTTGCTCAGTGATCAGATGCCGTCCTTCATTGCTCTATATGATCTTCCTTTGATGGATTCCGTTGAATTTTCTAGTATATATTATTCATTTACTGATATATGCGATTCAATTTCTAGCAAATAATGTACAATTAAAAAGAGACCACGCCCATCTCTAAAAAATATAAACTTAACACAAATGAAAAAAATATGTACAAACCTAACAATTCCCCCCCAAAACCTACGCATGTAGATATACTAAGGTAGATGATAGCCGCTCATCACTCATACAGGTGGACGTGTTTATGACCTGAGGAAGGATTTATTTGCTGTTATCGCTGACTCGAGTATGCAAGTATGCAAGGCGGATGTAAATTCGATACTCATGCATAATGATGACAAATTACACCTGAGAATACCTGTGATATCAGCAGTATCAAATTGTACTAAACTATATCAAATGTTAGAGTCTGCGTTATTTTTCATTTGAGGTAAGCATCTTTTATCGGTATAAGTTAGAAACATCTTTCAGGCTGTACCAGTCGATTAAAGATGTAAAGCACTAAAATGCTACAAGCTGCGTGTGTCCAAAAAGTTTCTTGCTACTGCCTCCTGTATGGTTGCGAATGATTATATTCATTCTGCTCTACTCATAGTGACATATGGTATGAGAATGCCCTCTATCTGGGATTAAGTAGCACGTCGCAGTAGGTACAAAAGTCTTTTTGATGTCTCATTTTTATGCTGAATTGGGGATTTCTAAGTCTCAGATGTGGTACATCTCACAGTGAGATTAATCCGCGGAAGAGACCAACCAGAAACGTTTTATTGGTCAATCTTTTCTGATTCAAATGTTACCAAAACTCGTCCCAACTCTAAAGAGGAGCACAAAGCAGTATTCCCGGGAGGCAGACAGTCCTTTTCAGCTAGCCTTTTTCTGTTTTAGGATTCCAAACCATTAACATATAAATGATCGAGTCATGAATCGTTAGGAGTAACCACCTCGGGAATGTGACGGTGGTAGATTTTATTACAACCTGAATACAATGTTAAAGTGTTCCTGCTACAAGCATTCAGGGAGATTCACTTACTGTGCGGAGGTCATTATCTATAGTGTAACCTGTGTTATGTCTTACTTCAAACTGTGAAGAATCTTCAATGGAAGGGCTTTATCGAGCTCTAAAGCCCATGGTGAAAATTATCTCTCGGCGCATGAACACTGCTTGTTTGAAATGAACATCGGAACATTTAGCAATTAATGTTCTCGAGTCTACTGAGGGTATCAAGCTTAATAGATGCCGGAGAACCCGACGTAAAATCCGCAGGGGTAACAGGGAATGTGCTCAGGGCTTATGAACATCAGCGGGGGGTAAGGACATACCTTGTATGGCGTTTTAGAAAACAATTCGTCAGTCTTTCCGAAAATTTAAATGGGACATTTATACCATAAAATTTTCAACTATCCGTCTGCTTGGAGTCAGCCAAGGCGATATTGGCCGTCCCTGTTATTAATGTTTCATATTCTGGATTTTATATCTCCTAGCAATTGATTTTTAACAAAAGTTAGGTAAGCACATTAAGTCCACAGGGTACCAGAAAGATTCTGCTTCAGAATATGCGGTTAGTGTAATTATTCACTAATGTGTTTGATTTATAGAATAAATATAAAGCCAACAGACGTTCTCAAAGATTGTGCCTTTCAAATATCGTCTTAAGATATTCGCCGAAGCGTGATAACGACTCATACAAAGTATATGTAAAAATTACGCCTCTTTCACCGCTCTCTGAAAGGTCGACTAATAGAATAGCCCTATTCTGCACGCACAATAATTTAGCAAGTATATCATGTTGGTGCAATAATCAAAAGACACTTCTAATGGGAAAAGTGCCTATGGGGCCAGCTGACGTCTTATATTCTTTTATCCTTAACACACAAGGTCACAGGATTTTAAAGAGCTGAATTTGATGAAGTTTCATGAAAAAACAAACTGTTAACTACATTAAAGTGCTACCTGAAGCTTATGAAAGTTCCTGTTCGAGATCGGCTTTGTGTAACAGTTAAACGACTTAGCTATATTACTGGTGTCCCCTGGTACATATTCATATTATTGACGAAAACCTGCTATCAATAGTGTGGATAAATGGATAAAAGTCAGTTAATAAATATAGTAGTACGTATAACTATAAACCTACAATTTGAAAATAATCATTAGGATTTCTTTCGAAGCTTAACCCCCATCAAAACTCCCATACAAATTTACCTTTTAACTGAACACGTCATCAGATTTTTGTGGCTAGTACTTGTTCGCTCGTAACCCTGAAGGTCCGGGTTTGAATGCCAAAATGGGAAGTAATATGTGAACCCAGTTACTAGCGTCCGCCTCACCCATCAACAAGATTCCTAAGTGTTGATTGTTTTTTTCAGTTGCGAAGCGTCAACGGCTCGACCCCGTGGCAACCGACTCCGGTAGTGCAGCATCCTCACCGAACCCCGACTCCAGACCTGTGTCCCCTGACATGGCAGACAGACCAAAACACGCCGGCCGCAGTCCCTCCCCAACTCGCAGCATCTCACCAAAAATGTCTCCAGAACCTGCAAACACTGCCATAGACCACGTGCGCTCAGAATACCTCCCGAAACCCACAGCAGATGAACTTAGTTTTCTTGCACGTGCTGGAGCCGGAAAACGTCCCCCAATTGACATGATGTGCCGCATTTTCCCACACATGAAGAGAGGGGTACTTCAGCTCATCCTTCAGGGGTGTGGAAACGACATGGTACAGGCTATCGAGCAGGTACTCAATAACCATGGCGAGCAGACGACTTCCGCTCTCAGCCAGACTACACCAACGCCAAGTTTGTTTCCTCAGTCTTATCTCAGCTCCTCACTCACATCCCCCTCCCTAAAGTCAGCGTTCTCTCCTATCACATCCCCTCCCACAGCTCACCTGAACTCTATAAGATACACCTACGGGAGCGGTGGTCGGAGTCTTGCTCTTGCAATGCCCTACCCCCCAGTTCTACCCTTAGGGTTAGGATCCACGTATGGCTATAACGGACTCTCTTCATCAAACAAGGCATTTCATTACGCGATGTACCCGTGCTGTACGAACCCCACAACACATGCTGCAGAGAAGACAACGGGGTGCCTCAGCGACTAGGCTGTCTCAAAACGGTGTTGAACTTGTCTCATTTCCACTCAGTCTTAATGGCTGCACAGCTGAAGATTCATCTTAACGAGATCATCTGATAAGTCGTCGTATATCAGAATGGTTTTAAACATATTTACCAATATATTTGTAGTTTTCTATTGTTATGGCACATTCCGACAAATTAGTGTAAAATTCAGTGTCTATGATTCCTATATGTGCATCGACTGTTTTTGGAGTTGCCCTTTTTCTTTAAAAACCCCCATCAATTACACTTAATATTGTATGGCAAAAAACAACGGCGATGTAATATTCACATCAAAAGCATGATGCTATAAGAGACAGACAGACAGTCAGTCAGTCAGTCAGACAGACAGACAGACACACACACGCACACACACATGGAGGCTATGTACTTAATCAATCTCCGTCATAATTTGGATTGCAATCACTGCATAGATATTCTACGAGTCATATTACTCAAATGTTGGCTCTCTATGTTGTCTTGATAAGTAACTTGTAATGATATGATTTTATCCATAATATCAATATCTCCTGTATTCAAATTACTGTAGGTAATATACAGTCACTGAATGAAGCCGTTGACTGGAGGCCGATTAGACCTTTGACAATATAACATCTTCGGGTCTCAAAAAATGAAAGACATAATACTACATAACTTCACAACGATACACACACTCGGGGGATAACCAATTTCAGTGGATCATATGATCCGACATTGCCCTTTGACAGTTCCATAGTGTTGATGACAACTTCAGCTTGCTGAAGGTTTTGAATATTAGTTAATATTCTTGTTGACATTTGATTCACGGTCATCGTCGTGGAATGTACATGATTTGCTCAACGTGAATTTTTTATGTCCCATGTATTAATTATATTGTCAATTGTTATTGACGTTTTTAAAGGATATCTTCATTGATATTGTTTCTCATTCTTGATGTAATATCATAGCATTTTGTGATATGTGCAAATGACGCCAGATTGTGCAGCCATCTTTTATGTTCATGTAACTGACCTTATTATTTATTGTACATAATACATGTTATGATGACGAAAGCAATAAAGCTTAAAGTTGTAATATATTTCTTTGTTTTCTTTACTCATATAATTCAGCATATGATTAGGGTTTCCATCAGAGTCTTCAACTGTTCTCGGAGTTACAGAATATGGCTTCAATAACTGTTAGTGAAAGTTCTTTTCTATACCACATGACGAAGTGTTCCACTACACCTGTCCATACACACAGTGAGAGAGAAAGAGAGAAGGGGAGAGAGGGGGAGGGAGAGAGAGAGATGGCATACCATCATACTTTCCCTTATTGTCACAAATTTACCATCCAGATATTAATTCCATTGGGCTTAACATAATTATTGTTCCAGTGTATTATAATTTTAGACTGTTTTAAACATGTATAGTCTCACTTGAAAACTTCTTTTTAAGGAGACATTGCAAGAAATATATGAAAATATAGCTATATTAAGCTAACTACCTAATGCATCAAAACAAACGGGAAAATGGACATTGATAAATAGAAACTGACCAACACATACGAATAGGCAATAAAGGTTGAGTAATACTATACTTACATTAGGTATGCACTACGTCAATTAAATAAAACCACCCCCCACTACAATACTAATATATACCTTCACACACTTACACTGTAAACCTTTTATTAGGTTTTCAATTCACAGCCATTCCTTTGTTCTTTTGTGACTCAGAGTATAGCATGTTTGTTTGTCAGCCGACGTTTAAACTTCGTTGTTCTTTTCTCTGAGATTACTTCTGAGATGAGATGAAACTACAATGAAAGCTAAAAAAAATATTCAGTTGCTATAATAACTTTTAGATTTCATAACCAACATAAAGCTGGACTATATCATTAGTTGAAAATGAAATGTTTATGTCTTTGTTTGAAATAGAAAGATGTACACTTTGATTTGGTCGGAAAATCTATAGTCATCGTCGATTTGGAAGACACCAAATGTAAACACGGCACTACAGTTTTTATTTCGGGTAATATTTTTTTATATTTGTACCCTCACTACAAGTAGACAATACACATTGATCATACGAATCAGCACACCATCCAACCAATCACATTGGCTGAGTGTATCCTTTCTTATAACTTTAAAATCACTCTAGATCGGTTTTAAAGAATGGATAAGGTGGGAAAATGTACTGGATGTGCAATAGTGTAGTTTGTGGCTTATTATATAAGTAAAACAACGATTATATTTAATAATATACCAAAGAGCGTTCACATTAAGTGACAATGAGCATGGAAAGGAATCTACCAATGAAAAACGTTGTTAGCCGCTATGAATACGATTGGAGACAAACCATCACCTTGCCTCACATCACTGTCTGTTACAGAAATCTTAAGTTAGGCTAGCCTCTGTTATGTACACGTCAACAGGAACCTTGCCACCCCGTCTACCCGGAATGACCACTGTTTGTCAGTAGACGCCATGGGTCTGGACCCAACTGCACACATACCCGACACCTTGTATCATGTGACCGGTGTCCGTGGATTTTCCTAGCAATAGAAAATGTCTCAAGTGACCAGTGGCCGTGAGAAGGGGTAATGAAATCCACACCCAACGTTTACACCACGTTGCAATTTGTTTCAACACGTTTATACCCCCACCTCCTATTGTGAGACAGCTTTAGAAAGTTGATGGGGTGTTTACTTGATATATGTCGCAGGAAGTCACCCCTGCGACTGACTAGAGTTTCTCCTCATTTTACATTTGCTTGAAAAGATTTATGGTTTATTTTCCTACGTGGCATGTCTTACTTAAAGTTGGGCTTTTAAACAGCCATATGGGTAGGCGGCGTACAAGAACAGTTTGTGTTTGTCTTTGCAAGAAATTGTTATTTGATTGCGAGGTATTTGACACGGGTATCATAATTGTAATTTAGACTTATGTTATCCGGGACTGAACCCCCAAAATAATCGAATTTGTACTTTACAAAGAAAGTGTAATCCCAAATATAACATATGTTACATTTGACCACTTTCTATAATATTGCAATGAGTAATCATAGATTTCGGCCGTGGGAGCCGTGCCAATTTAAACTTCTCAGAGGGGTACACAAAGTCCGTAGTCTAGACTACCAGTTGTCCGACTTTCATTTTTTGTGGAAGTCGCGGTGGCTGAGCGGGTTAGGCGGCTGACTTTGTGTGCTGGCGATTAGGTGCCTGACTCTGAAGGTGCGGGTTCGAATCCCGCATGGGACTCAACCCCAAAAAGTACTATGTTTTCAGTTTGCTAACTCTTTGATAACGTTTGGGTCAAATCCAATTTTCAGGTGTATATTTTCTTTTGCCGGACAGTTTAAAACGCGACACAGAATAACCCATGAAACTATCCGATATTACTATACATTATTGTTTGGATGGTGAGCTGAGTTATCATATGACCAATCTGCAGACAAGTATTGTCTGTCTGTAGTGAGGATACAAAATGAAACGCGTCAGCTGTTCACTATACATGTTATAAACAGTAATCTTAACGTATGTCCATAAAGCAGGGATATTAATTCAAAATAGGCCGTTTACAATTTTGTGTTCTTTATTGACAATGTGTTAAAAAGGAGAATGGAGAATTTTTAAGTCGGAAATTGAGCCTATTTCAAATCTATTTGCCCCTGTTACTTTCGTTTCTGTGTGTGTGTGTGTGTGCATGGCGTTATTCGTGTCCAGTCATTAGAGTTACAAATGTACGTTTATTTCCACTATATAACATGCTGTAATATACCACATAACGCAGGTCTAACGTCCACACAGCTCCTCGCAGTGTACAAGGAGGTATCTATTCCCCTAGCAACTATTCGCATGATACACGTGTACTACTTATCTCTGTTGATCAACTTTTCCGCGGTGTTTAGACAAGATGAGTAAAGACATTGAGATTGGTCTGAGACGCTGGTTTAAGTGGGGGTTTGGGGGATACAAGTGGGAAGAGTGGGCCGGTATAATCCTTGTTTGACATGGACTTTCACAGACGCGACACCTCTTGACTGAGCCGGACACACTGAAGTATGAAAGGAAACGATACATACGTAATTTGGAGTTTCAGATGTATTTTGGTGGGAAATACACCATGTTTTAGATGAGTACCCAGATCACATTTATAATGTATTATGACACACGTCATTTTGTTTATACATAGAAACGGTCCTTCATCATGACGGTTAAAGATGATGAAGGAGCAGTATAATGTATACATTAAACGTTTAATCATTTGATAAAGGAAATAAAAGTTTAATGACTATATGTATCTTTCACCTTTTGCACTATTTCTTAAGACACTTGAATTATGGATGGTCAAATCTATGTTGTTGATTTTTTACGCTGCTCCACATAAAATGCATTTTTCTTTCCGTATTCATTCAATACATTCATGGACATGATGGACGTCAAATTGGATCCGTTCTGTTATTTGAAATAAAAACGTGGATGTTGCATTTTCATTTCAACAATTTAATGAACACGTTTATATCCTTGTGTCATGTTACATATAAGACGGAAGTTCAAGATTTCTGTGTGTTCCAAAGAAGGCCATGGCCACATGACCACGAAAATACCGTTCATAAACGGACGATGTTCACACAGTTTGGCAGCTTTGATCACAGCGTGTCTGCTTAATGTGGTGGAAAGCCCGAAATGATGCCGGTCAAATACGTTTACCGCTTTTGTGAAATCCACCAGCACGGGCTCTGACAAACCAAAAAACCCAAGCTTGGCGAATATCATTATTCGAAACAACGGCCACCGGTTTCTGTCGTGCCTAATGGAGATCCAACTCAGCACAACGAATTGCACGCCTTAGTCCCCCATTCGGTCACAAGTGCACATTACCATCAAATAAACATGTATAACTTATTGATAACATTGATGTCAACAGCTAATGTTTTATGTTAACTTTTCTTCAGGGTTGATGTGCAGTTGGAATATAACCTGATTGATGAATATACTTGTTCTCCTTATGACGTGTGATTTATTACTCAAAACAGATGCTCATAATCAGCCTCAGTAGCTACCCACGTGGAAACAAACAATATGTCCTCATCATTCATGTTCTCGGGTATATCGACATGACATAAAACATTAAATTGATTTCACATCAGGACAATAATAATGACATGAATAAATAGAAAATCTGCGTAGCTGGAATTTATTTTTTAGAAGCTGTCATTGTTTTGCAACATCTGGTCTTTGTTAGACGAAGAGCATATTTAAAATTGATAATTGCACTTTATTCCGAAATTGTATCATTTGACACCTGAGTGTTAGCACAGCATGGCGAGGTTGTTCTGGAAATAAATATGACATTGGTAATTTGTTTGTTAAACAAAATTTGTGTTATCTCAAATTGTGACGCGTTATGAAACGAAACAGTGGATAATGCTTCTGATTTATTAGAATTGAAGTGTCTTGGTGCCTTGTGGGTTCTGTTTTGTGTGTTTGTTGTTTACCGCTGCAACAAGCTATATGACGGCGGTCTGTGAATAATCGAGTCTGGACCAGACAATCCAGTGATCAACAGCATAACGAGTTCTGTGTCTATGTCGTAATGCATGCTAGTGTTGAGGGGATGTGATCTATCCGTACTAAATATAGTACCTGATGAAAATGTGTTTGCTTTCCGTTTATTTTCATGCAAAATTATTTGAAATTCCAGCAAAAATATCCATCTTGAGCTTTAAAGGAGCGCCGTTGCCATGTCTATACTTAGAGGTCCCATCGTCTGAGGGGCCGTTTGAATTTCTGCTTGGGCTGGCAATATCGAAACAAGGTAATTTGGCCAAGAGCTTATGCTTCAGGTATATGGATAATCTGGTCTCGCTCAATAACAATCAAATACTAAGTAACCGATTCCATTCCCCTTTGTCTACTCACCTGAACTTGAAATATAGGAGACTAGTGAGACCACCTCATGTGTGTTAGTCTATGCATAAAGATTCAGAGTGACAACAAACTCTCCACATCACTGTATGAAAGGAGTGAGTGAGTGAGTGAATATGGTTTTACGCCGCTTTTAGCAACATTCCAGCAATATCACGGCTGGG